CCCCCACCCCGCTATTCGGAATAGGATAAGCAGTTGAGAGGATGGATGGATATTAAAATGTTGAATCAGTTACTTTGAACTGTTTAAGTTTGTTTTTATGGTTAAATACAAGCTTCATACACAGTTCATAAAAAGGTCTGACTTTGGTCCAATTACACCTTGTAAAGTAGCCGTGAGCTTTTACAATGTGGACGTCAAATAAACCGTGAGATTACAGTTTACAGAAATGTAATACAATTAAAATAAAGGCTGCCTGACTTACCGGCCAGTTTACCTGGCAGCGCTTCAAGAACAATGTTCATTTCCGCAGCACGCTGATGAAGCACGGAAGCCCACCGGACAGTTCACACGCACCTTACCGTAGTGCCATTGTACGCAGACATTCACATTCATGTTGACAACCAAGCTGAAGATTTAAAGAGGTCTTTGAGCAGAGGCCAGTCCCCCGACAGAGCGCTCTGATAACAGACACCAGCAATGACGTGAAGATAGTTACATCAGCTGACGTCTTGCAAAATAAGTAGTTTTAAAAAATCCTCCTTAATCTGACAGGATGGCAGAAGCTTCTTCGGCTGCTGTAAAACGTGACATGTTATCTTAATGCTATTCTACCCACTAATAGCCCTGTGTCATATCTCATTTCTTTTTGGTACACTCATGGGCATCACACAAGCGGATACCAACCTGTAAACTTACAATAATCTGAAGGGGGGGGACTGCAAAACTAAAGGCTTAAAATCAGGTTATTAAAGCAGCTGTAGCCCTCTAAGGGTAGAATTATCAAACCTGACCCCTTCCAAATTCAGACAAGTACAAAACGATCCTTGCCTTGATTTTCCTACTCCATTAACCTGCTGCTTATTCCTGCAGGATCCTTCATGGCACAGAAATGTGTGTCTGCACTGCCACCCACAGGTCACATGGTGTCATCGGACACAGTATCTGTCAGAGTGAATCATAAGCTGAATTCTATGCTGAAAACCTCTGCTTTTCAGCTACATTTTTACTCGGGTAATAACTGGGCTGTAGGAAGAGCTTTTAAAATACAGTCAAAAGTGTTAGTCCTTTCTGGGGGTGTCTGGGGGCGTGGTCTCCTCTGGACGTTTTTAAGAATAAAGTGTAAATTCTGAATTTTTAAGTAAACAGTGACTTAATGACACTGACGTCTGATCGTCATCTTTGTTCTCAGGATATTATTCAGTAAAATATCCCAGTAAAATACAGAGGTGGAAATTTCAGGTCCAGAAAGTAAAAATCCAGACCAGGATTTTGTTTCGATCAACCAATTGAGTATGAAGAGTCACTGCTACAGAGTAATCAGCTGGTTGGTTGAAACAAAATCATGGTCTGGATTTTTACTTTCTGGACCTGAAATTTCCACCTCTGGTAAAATGACGGATACAGGGATGAATCTTTAATATGTTGCATAGTGGCTCAGAGGGGAACACTGGTGCTTCAAGCCTTGAAGGTCTGGGGTTTTCATCTCAGTTCTGTTCTCTGTGTGCCTTGTCACTTCCTGCCATAGTCTGAGGACACCCCCCCACACCCCCAAGACAACCGATGGATGCGTGCCTTCTTATCGACTAGGCGACTGACCTAAAAATGTAGCAACATGTTAAAAACTAATAATAGAATGATAACAAAAAATTATTTGAGTGTTATCTTACGTACCCTGGAGTTTCATTTGCTAGCAAACTTTGTATGTTATTTTGTGTCATGTAATTGTAATATTATGCAACTAGACCGAAGGTCTGAAGTTTAACATTTGACTAAAATACATGTATTTATAGGTTACAGACGAGAAGTATTGCTGAGTTTGCCTCAGTTCAGTTAAACAGGACAAAGTTTCTGTTTAACTTTGATCAGGTTGGTCTGGCTGTGATAGTAGTTGAACTTCGGTGGGGTTGTTGGTTAAATTTGTTTACTAAGCAAAGTCACTGACTCATGTTTTGTCTAGTTTACAATGTGTCTTTATTTATTGTATTTTTCATGCAATCATTGATCGATATTCTAACCACTCATCCTGGTCAGGGTCACAGGGGACATGGACCCAATCCAATCTGTCACAGGACACGGAGCTGGGGTACACTCTGGACGGGATGCCGGTCCCTCGCAGGGCACATGGCCGGGGTACACCCTGGACGGGATGCCGGTCCGTCACAGGGCACAGGGCTGGGGTACACCCTGAATGGGATGCCAGTCCATCACAGGGCACAGGGCCGGGGTACACCCTGGGCGGGATGCCGGACCCTCGCAGGGCACGGGGCTGGGGTACACCCTGGACGGGATGCCGGTCCGTCGCAGGGCACGGGGCTGGGGTACACCCTGGACGGGATGCCGGTCTGTCGCAGGGCACGGGGCCGGGGTACACCCTGGACGGGATGCCGGTCTGTCGCAGGGCACGGGGCTGGGGTACACCCTGGACGGGATGCCGGTCCGTCACAGGGCACGGGGCCGGGGTACACCCTGGACTGGATGCTGGTCCATCACAGGGTATGTTTGAATTTATCCTGATCCTATGCTGACATGCATACTCACAGGATATTTGAGGAGTGGATATTTACACTGCGGTGAGTCAATACACAGTCAGATAGTTGTTTCCCAAAAGTCCTGCTCAACTTTGCCCTGATCTTGCTGATGTTTTAACGTTCGGAGTTAAACATTCAGCTGCTGTCCTGCAATCCACCCATTACAAAACCCCGGGAGAGGCGTTTGCTGACGCCCCCTGGGTGGATATCGATGTATATATACACACTGGGGAGCTGGAGGGCGCCACATCTTTGCTGATCTTCTCTCCACCATGAAGTGGCTGCTGCTCCTTCACCTTTGCGTTTACGGAGTCCTGTGCTCCACAGACACGGACTACGACAACGATGAGGTAAACGCTCCTCTCTCTGAATGGCGGGAATCAACATTCTGCTGGTACCTCTCTACATTAAATACAGCTTTAATAATCCTGTTAGCTTGTGCTACTTGTAGCAATTTGTGGTTTTGGCTAATAAAGGTCTATGTGTCTCTTTTGTCTTTCAGGATGACACAGGGGTAAGAATTTGGTTTGATTTTCTGTCACTACGGTAATACTTGTGTCTTTGTCTAATACAAAAATGATGCCTGTAATGCGACCAGCCGTGGCAATGATGCCTGTAATGCGACCAGCCGTGGCAATGATGCCTGTAATGCGACCAGCCGTGGCAATGATGCCTGTAATGCGACCAGCCGTGGCTGGCTGCGGCCGCTCTCACACACGAGCCTCTCTGCCGCCTCAGACCAACCCGCTGAACCCGAGGGGTCACAGACCTGCCATGACGGGCAGGGAACGCTACAACGTGCCCCAACCGGCCCCCCCACCCGTCAGCGGTGGCTCCACGTACCGCGGCCGGCCCACCCCCGCCCCCGTGCGCACGCCGCAGCAGCAGCAGAAGGAGGAGCAGCCCGACTCCGGCGGCTGCACCCACGCGTCGGAGCAGATGGTGAGCTCGCCTCTCCCAGTGACTTGGGTCCAAGGCTTCTCCCTCTTTGACCAGTCAAATCATTTTATTTATAAAACACATTTATTTAACAAAACCAAAGTGCAGTACAACACAGTAAATAGACCCTATACATAACATCCTACCATAAAATTTATAATAGTAAATCCAATAACGACAATCACTATACAGAGAATCCAACTGTAAAATCCAATCTAATGACATGCAACACTAACATCCAAGATGCAAATGCTATTGAGTAAAAATATGTTGTTAATCCGGATTTAAAACCGTGATTGATGGAGCTGATCTGATCTGAAATGGAAAACTATTCCTAAGAGTCGGAGCAACAACTGCAGAGGCACAGTCATAGGTAGAGAAGGAATTTTCATTCGGGGCTGTTTTCCAATAAAATATCCTTACTGGAATATGGGTAAAACAGTTAAATCATAGCTTGAAAGTTTTTGGTTTTGCATTTTAATTTTTCAGGGGGTTTTATGTCCAACGGGGTGCGAACTTAAAACCGTCATATTGAAACAAGAAAAGAACATTAAAGGGACCATCCTTGAGCTCCGACGGGACGTGACTGACCTGTCCAGGTCCTCTAACAATATTTACCGCTACGTGGACAGCCTGTCGTCGCAGGTGCGCGAGAGGCAGCGTCTGACCGACGGTAAGGGCTCGCATAAAAGAATACCCCACCCCCACCGCAGCATATCACTGCCGTGTCATTTACCATGGTGTCCACCCTCGCCTTTCAGATAACGGGAACGTCGTCGGCGAGTACACAGGTGACCTGGAGCAGCAGCACGCCTTCATCAAGGACACCATTGACACCAGCTTCCCGTCCAACATCCGCATCCTCCAGCAAGTGCTGGAGAGCGTGCGCGGAAAAATCCAGAAGATCGAGTCAGCCATCTTGGCCCAGAGGGAGAAGTGCAACAAGCGATGTACTGTCTCGTACCCCATCCCTGTGGTCTCCGGCAAGGAGTGCGAGGACATCTACCGCAAGGGAGGAGTCGCCTCCGAGATGTATCTCATCCAGCCAGATTCCTTCTTCAAGCCCTACAAGGTCTACTGCGACATGACCACTCTTGATGGAGGTACAGTTACTCTATCACAGTGTTACCCAGCCCAGTACTCAGGGATCCACAGCTTTGCTCTCTCCTAGCTCCCTGCCAGACAGTCCACATTTTTGCTTCCTCTCATGTCCGGGCAGGTAGCTAAGAGGGAGCAAAAACATGGACTGTCTGTGGATCCCCAAGGACTGGATTGGGCAAATCTACTGTAGACATCTAATCCTTATGGGTAGCTCCTTGTGTTGTGATAGCCCACGTCGTGCTGTACGTTAGCTTAAGGCTTGCTAATGGGGCTGTTCCTTCCCAAGGCTGGACCTTGATCCAGAACCGGCAAGATGGTAGTGTGGACTTTGGTAGAAGGTGGGATGATTACAGGTCTGGGTTTGGAAACATCGCATCTGCGGACACAAAAGGATTCGGCAAAATCCCAGGTGATGATAAACCCGCTACAATGGAATAAAAACACCACAAAATGACTTCTTCTTTTATATTCCTCCTTGCTTATTTTCAGATGTAGCATGTACTACATGTAATATGAGTCAATATAAAATATCTATAATTCTTGTTCTATACAAAAATGTATGATGTTCTCGTCTTCTTAGGAGAATACTGGCTGGGCAACGACCGGATCAGTCAGCTCACCAAGATCGGTCCAACTGAGATCCTGTATGAGATGACCGACTGGTCTGGCGCTCGCGTCCAAGCTAGGTACCAGCAGTTCACCGTGCAGGGGGAGAACACCAACTACCAGCTGGCCGTGGCTGGCTACTCTGGCACCGCTGGAGATACCCTCCTGACGGGGGCCCGGGAGCTGGTGGGCGAGAACCGGACCATGACGATACACAACGGCATGATGTTCAGCACCTACGACAGAGACAATGACAACTGGTAAGTACAGAGGGGAGGACGTGCTGCTCAAAGACCTTCTGGAGCCTTCATCCCTGTTGATGGGGTGACCGTGTCTCTCTCCAGGCTGCCCGGGGACCCGTCCAAGCAGTGCTCCAAAGAAGACGGCGGGGGCTGGTGGTACAATCGCTGCCACTCAAGCAACCCCAATGGCCGGTACTACTGGGGAGGGGCCTATACCAAGCAGATGGCCAAGCACGGCACAGATGACGGCATCGTGTGGATGAACTGGAAGGGATCCTGGTATTCCTTGAAGACTATCAGCATGAAGATCAGGCCATTTTTCGCCTCTTGAGAGTCAGCATGTAGCGCAGGCCGCCCCACCATGTGCCTGCAAAAAAGGTTGGCCAACCATGTGCCTGCAAAAAAAGGATGGCCAACCATGACATTGGAAACTGCAGCTCAAGGATAAAGTGTGCCGACACAGAATTTTTAAATAATATTTCAAAGGCATTAAAAGCAACACTGAATGAATGAAAACAAAACATGCTTGGCAGATTTATTGTCCAGCAATTTTTATTTAAAAATAAAAAACATTTAAAATACAAGAGGACCTTTTTAAAATGTGTGACTCCTCCGAAGAAGCAATTTTGTTCCTCTGCTCAATAAAATTTGTTGAAGATCATTTGAATTACATGTGCTGTTTGATTTTCAGATCTCACAGTATTTATATACATGCATATATATAGATAGCAAAGCAATTAGCAAAGCATTTCCAAGTGAATGTTCGTAACCTGAAGTTATGACCACAGAACTTTAGTGTTTGGGGGTAACACCTAATGGTTGTTGACCATTTTGGTTCCTTTGGAAAATTATCAACAACATCCTGCAGTCAAATGCATTGTAGTCTGAAACTTGTCTGAGCTGAGATGAAGGACAAAAGTCTTCAAAAGTTATGATGTATCTCTAAGAACAAAGGTTAGTTGTCCAGAATATGGCATTTTGCTATCTAGATGCCTGCCATATAGTCTACTTGCTGGCACCATTAATATTAATAAAGATAAACGTGCCTGTCATATGAAATGGCAGCCAAAACTCCCATTAACAACATTTCAAAAGAGTTAGAGATGAGTGTTGAATACTCCCTCAATGCTAATGGTATTACAGATAACATTCTGAGTACATCATTTTGGTAAGTAGCTTCATCAGTGAGGGGATACACACAGAAATTAGACATGAACGTCTGTGTCTCCACAAAGCAACAATCACTCTGCAGGTCAGCTTTATTAATCTGTCCTAATCCATCTTCCAGCCGCTTAGCCTAAGCAGGGTTGTGTGCAGGGCCGTTAATTAACCCATACCTAACAACATAAGGCATATGCACGGCCTGCTCTCCTAAATGCATGCTTTTGGACTGATGCAGAACTCCAGACTACGTGGAGGAAATGCATACGACACAGGAACAACATGTAAACTGCAAATGGAGTGAGATTCTAACCCA